TATTTCCAAAAACGTGCACTGTTTTTATTGTGCCTGCAGCACTATGTGGCTGTTGTGTGGTGGGGCACGTGTCATCCCCCCAGTGGATTTTGGCGCGCCATCTTTTTCTCCTCGTGCTCTCCAGTCCTGCCTTCGGTCTGCGCTCAGCCTTGGCACGTGGAGCCGGACTTGCTCGGCCTCTCTAACCACTGGCTGCAAGTGAGTACAAGAGCAGGGCCATTCTTTCTTTGGTCGCCGTGATAGATAGGCGCGCATGCGCGTGCGCACACACACACGTACACATTTGCACACACGTTTGCATGCATGTGCGCACACACACGCACACTGGGATAGCTTCCTGAAATCCATCAAATTCTGCTTAAACCAGCAACTAAAACTTGAATGCACAATAGTTGTCCTACTGCTGATGAGTTTTGTAGTGAATCACAAAGTTTCAAGCAGGCCCACGTTCCTTTCTAGCCACCGGTCTTGGATTAAAGGAAAGAATTATTCTTTCCGATTCCTTAGTTCTTTGCCATTCAGTGTACTGTACCAGTGTTACAGATAGAGCTTGGTGCCTTAGATTTGAAAACTATTTTTATACACTAGCTCTTTCATGAAGAAGGCAGAGACAATCATCCTAACAAATGAGTTTCTGGTATTTTTCTGCACAAATGTCACATGTTGGAACACTCCGTTATTCTTCTGTTCATATATGTGCTCTGTGAAATAAACTTTGCAAATAAAGCAAGTCTTCTTTTCACTATAATAACAAAAAAATATTGTTGCGTGGTGTAAAGGTGACCCCAATTGTTAACCAAGCTTTGAACATGGGCAAGAGGCAGTTCAATAAAAGGTAAGCAAATCCTCTGATGCTCCCTTTCAGCCACTTGGTGACTTGGTAGAGCTCCACTCCTGGGACATTAGATGTGAATTTTCAAATTCTGCACCTATTTCCAGGGCTCATTACTCTGGCCAGTGGTGGCTCTTTCTTCTACTTGAGGCCAGTAGTTATCAACCATCTGTTTACTGTGGTGAAATTCACAACATGTCCCAGTCTGGTGGCATTTAGTGTATGCACGGTGTTGTGCAACCACCACCTGTACCTGGTTCTAGAACGTTTATCTCCTCCTCAGAAAACCTGTACCCTTTAAACATTCACTCCCCACCCCTCTCCCCCAGCCCCTTCAGGGGCATCGCTTTTGGTGCCTGCCATGGTGGGGAACACTTGACATCTTTGAGTGAGTGCACGCGCGGGCAGCGATTGTGCTTCTCTACACATCTGTTCGTGACCTTGCTGTTCCTGTACACAGCTAAAATGGATGTTCGGATCTGCCTGTAAGTGTTTAGTTTTCAATCTTGAAACGCGTTCTGGTCTGTTAGGTTTTTTGATCGGGCGAGGTCCTTGTTTACAGTCTGTGGGGTCTGGCGCTTAGGAGATGGTGGCACCCACCCCCACTTCCCGTTCCGTATTGTTGGGCTCCACATCGGAGCTATTGAAGCAGGATGTCGTGTGGTGTGCACACAACCCGAAACGTGGCCAAAGCTCCCTGTCTACAGCTCCGAGGTGGTGGCCGCCGGCATAGCCTTACCCCCTTGCCATGGGCTGGTGCCTGGGCCTGTTAGGGGACAGGATTGCTTCAAGTTTCCTTTCCTCTCTGGGTAGTCTCTTGGCATCTCTCCCCCTGACAGGTCCCTAACTTCTGCCAGCGGGTTCTACGTATGAGCATGTCTCCTACGCCTGTGTCATCTTGCACAGGTACGAAGCCTTCAAACAGCTCTGACCCCTGGCAGCCACCGTGGTGCAGTATGGGATGCTGCAGAGGGTGGCAGATGGACTCCAAGTCCTGCGTCTTAGCTGAGGTGGCCGTGAGCTTGCTGTGTGACTTCGCGTGCATTTTCACGTGAATTTGTGCTGCGGTCTCCGAGTGCCCTTTTAGTCCTGTGGAATCACGCCTTGGGGCAAGAGGCAGAGGATCAGGAGGCGAGGCAGGAACAGGAGCAGGAGCCAGTGCCAAGAAGCAGAAGCCTGGAGGCAGGCCGGCCGCCACATTTCATCAGGGGTCTGTGCCCTGTGGCCCGCTGGGTGCCCCAGGCCCCGCAGACCTGGCTCATTGAAGCAGGCCCTGGAGAGGCCACCTTGCCGCTGGTCTCCCTCTCCACTGATCCAGTTCCAGGGTTCCTGGATGGGTATATCCAAGGGTTCCCCAAGTCTCGTAATAACTGCAGTTACGTTTACACGTGCCATGATGCCAGGTACTTTATTAGGCATCTTTTTAAAACCCTGTGAAGGTGGGTATCCATTTTTACCTAGGAGGACACAGACTTGTAGAGATTGGTACTTGTTCAATGTCGTACAACTAGGAAGAGGCAGAGCTGATGCCCAAATTCAAGGCTGATTGTAGAGGCGACACCTCATCCTGCTTCGCGAGTGGAAAGGGTCTTGTGGTTCATATGGTAGGTAATATGCCGTTTGGGGCCGGAGATGAAAATAATTGCTAACATTATTTGAGTGCTTTGACCAGGTGTCCATCGCCCTATTAGGCATTTGTATTATTACCGTATAATCTGCGTGTGATTCTGGAGGGTAGGAATTCGGTCTCATTTTACAGGCAAGGAAACGAACTGAGTGAGGTTAGGGGAACTTGCCTGTGGTCTCAGTGGCATAGAAAATGGCAGAGCAGCTGGGATTTGAACCCAGGCAGTCTGCTCCAGAACCCACCCTGTTGACCACAAGTAGGTGCGTTCTGGAGATGCTGATCCCCCTGGTTATGAGGGAGAAGAGCATTTTCTGATTAAAAGTTGTCAACTAGGAATCTCCCCTCCTTCCTCCTGAGTCTTAATGGGTCAGTCTTCAAATGAAATACCGAGCAGAAACCAGACAGTTTCCTCACAGTGATGCATCAGATGCTGCCCCTACCCTGGGGGGCTCACCATTTCTATGGCAATGTCCGGTCATAAGTGATAGGCTGGAGATTTGTCACTCGTTAGCCGTGTGACCTCAGGTAGACCTCTTAACTTCTCTGAACGTCTCTCATCTGGAAAATGGGGACGATAGTGACAGTGTTGATTGTGAGGATTAGGTATCTGGGGCGGGGAGTGCTGGCGTAGGGAAGGCAAAGCCAAGTTGGCCAGGGTGGAGGCTGGAGTTCTTGTGCTGGTGGCTGCAGCTAGCGGTGTGGCTTTTTTTTTTTTTTTTACACGGCAGAGCTTGGCCCTGGTGTGGGCTGGGGTTTTGCAGGCCGAATGGGATAGGAAGGCCAAAGGGTGACAGGATGGAGGGCAAGCACAGAATCTGGGGTGGCAGGGGAAGAGGAGAGCAGCCACGGTGCCCAAAGGCCCACAGTCTGCTGGGGTGGAGGGCACTGGAAGTGTGCTGTGGTCTCTCCCCGAGGAGGAGTCCTGAGTGGAGTCCCCTCTCCATCCCAGGCTCGTCCCCTCTGGGCCCTGTCCCTTGCCGCAATCTCAGTAACCCAGCCTGCTTCCAGGGGGTGGTGTGTCAGTTCCCCACCCCACCCCTGCTCCCTCGGGCCCCAACCACTCTCTTCGTGGTTTTAACTGCCGATTTCTCTAGGGAAACAGACACAGGGGACTTATCACCTGTTCATAAAAACGCCCGTGGTTTCCTGCTGACGGGTTTGGGTTCCCTGCTAACAAGGTCTGGGTAGCTCCACAGGGGTCCCGCCCTTCGCTTTTATTACTGAGGCCCCGATGCCCTCTCCCCGCTGGCTCAGCCATGGCCACAAGGGGGAGCGGGTTTCTCCCGCGGGCCCAAGGGTGGAGGGAACAGGGGTTGACAGTGTTCCACGTGGATCCGTGCTCCAGAGGGCACACGGAGAGGGGGGCCAACAGAACGGGGGCTGTGAACAGCCCAACAGCCCTTCGGCTGTCGTTCTCTTCTCACCCCACCTGCTCCTGGCCCAAGAAAACAGGGCCCTTTTTAAGGGATGTGGACATCTGGGAAATGCTGCTTCTGGGTCAGCGTGGGGCGTGGTGGTTTTTGACCGGACCCGAGTGCCGCTGCGGGCTTCAGTCTGCTTCTAAATTCCTCTGTTCTGTGTGACTGCTCCGAACCGAGTACGTGCTCGAAGGAAAGCGGTCATCGGGGGTCTGAGAGCAATGGTGTCCCCTTACAGCAACTCCATGGGCAGAATTAAAAGACGAGGCGTTATTTATTTATATGCTGCTTTATTTCTGTAAGGGTACACTGAAACTTTAGGATAACAGCTAATGACAAAATGTAGAAATGAGGCATCGGCTTGTCTAACCACTCCTACGAGAATGTTAATATGCACTGTCATTACATGTTTACTTTTGATACTGTCTCATTATACTACGTAATAGAACAATGTTGATAAGAATACGGTAAGTTAGGTGAGCCTGCATCTCAGGTAAGCACTGTGTGGAAATCCGCTTGTGCCTGTGAGGGTGGCAGCCGCTCCCCCAGAGATCCAGCTGAGCTCTTGAGGGACAGTCCTAAAAATCACAAGAAAAGGGACTTGGCGGGCCTCTTGAGCACACAAAGAGCAGACAACTACTATGCTACAAGGGACTCCACTCTAGCCGCTGTTTGGAAATGTCCTGTCCGTGTCAATGACAGTCCTGGCGCCTGCTCAGCTACCCCCCGCTAGAGTGTTATGATTACTTCGGCAGGATGAATTTCAAAACCGCAGGAACGTTTGAGGGGGGCTAAAATATCGACATGCAAGTCTCCAAACCCATAAACTACGTTACTATGAATTAAAACGAGAGCATTAAAAACGAAAAAGAAAAGGCGCAGCTGGGTTAGTTTTGTTAAGCCTCCAGAAGTAGTCGCCGTGACGATGTTCCTGTGAAACAGGCTCGTTTTCTCAGGTCTGCCTACACTTTCCAAATCACCTGCACGTTCCCCGCTTGAAAGTGGGAACGTTCAGAAAACACGCCACACGGGGAAATCGAAAGTTAGTACGGGGGGAAGGTCAGTTTAGAGTTACAGCCAAGTTCAAATGTTAACTTTCTGGAAATTCGTATTAGTCGTTTGAGAGCACAAAAGAACAGCACGAAGATTTCGAGGAGGAGGTTCAACCATGCAATTTGTTAAGTTCGCTCTCTGCTCACAGACAGGTGAGCAGCCGAGTTGGAGCAGCCGCCGCAACTCTTGCGTGTCCTGAGGACACGGTGGGTCCCAGCTGAGCCACGAGACGCATCTCAGCGGGGGCTTTATGTGTTACGCTTCTCGCTCACGTCACTAAGCAGCTAAATGGTGAGCACGTTTCTGCTCTATGATAAACATGCAGAAGAGTCAACCTATCTACGTGTTTGTGTTTTCACCGCAGCTGCGGAGAAGTGGCCGCGCCGCGACATCCTAGTGTGACCACTGCGTGCCCGTATCTGAGTAATACTGTAAAATGGGAGCAAAGACAGAGGAAGCAACTTTAGAGGTGAGAGGCCGCTCTGGCCCTCTGGGTGGTGCAGGGCAGAGGGCGAGGACACAAGAACAAGACTCGATTCCATTTTACAGGACAGGAGCCCCTGTCGCTTTACAGCTTTTTGGCACAGTCGGGGCAATACACTTGCTCCTGGTGGAAAACAAAGCGCTTGTTGGCCAGATTCATGGAGCATTTTTTGCAGTGGAAGCAGTAGTCGTGCCAGGATTGTCCTTCATAGGCCACCACACTGGAGCCTTTACCAAACCCTGGGGAAACGACAAAAGAAAACAAAGGAGGCCGCTGAGTGGGCACAGGCGGGAGGCCGAGCGCCGCCTTGCCCGTTCACGGAGCCGACAAGCACGCGGGGGCAGCGTCTGCCCGGCCCCCGGCCGCCCTCCGCCGCGCGCCGACCCCCGCGTCGCCGCCACCCTGCTACGGCTCGCGAGGACCTGAGGAGATGCCAGAGCTCAGCCGCGAACCCACATTCCCATGCCACCGCTATCGCCCTGTGACACGCACCGACCTCCCAGCATAACCAGTTTCTTTGATTTAGGGCCATGGCATCAAAGTGGCCACCAGGAGGCAAACTTGGGCTGTTCGCGGGGTGTGCACTTACCGGGCCTCGAGGAGCTGCTAAGCTTCGATTTTTTCTATAAAGAACCACCACCCACGAGGGACAAGTCCTCTCTCCACCCGGATGCCTGCCCCGGAGGTTGGCGCTGGGAAACAGGGTGAGAGGCAAGCGTTTCCCGTGGCACACTGGGGGCTTCCTAGCTTTAGAGACTGGGTGGCTCACTCTTGACACAGTCCTTTTCCCTGAGGATGGCAAAAGTCTTCTCAAATGTACATTTCAAGGCTCCCCGGGGAGATGGGAAAATTGGAGGCGGGGAAAGGGCCCGGGGCACGTGGATCGCGGCCGCGTGAGGAGGAATGAAGTGATCAGCTCTGCTTCTGATCGCCAAACAGCTGCCCGCAGCCACCTCTGAGCTAGCCTGCCGCTAGGGGCGCTCTAATCCCCGCCTGCCGCTCGCAGCCTCCCCCCCTCCCCCTCCCCCTCCCCCCCCAACTCCCGCCGGCCTGATCCGCCCCCCCTTTCCTCTCCCTTCCCCGCCGGACTCCCCCCACCCCCCCACCCTGCTCCCACCGCCACACGCGGTGCCTGCCTGCCCGTGGCCATGGCCGTGGGTCTCAGGCTCGTGAACTCCGGCAGCGTCGTTAGTCAGCAGTAGTCAGGAGGTGTTCTGTATTGCAAAGGCTAAGCTGGCCTGGGGGAGAATCCAAACTATTCGGGGGGGGGGGCCTTCGGGACCACAATGGCAGGGGGACGGGACATTCTGTGGGGCCTTTGTGGATGAAACCGACGGCGTAGGAAAATG